GAGTAAAAGTGCCCATTTTCAACAACAACAACAAAAAGAACCCCAAGAGCTTTCCCAGAATGTTAATTTGATTAATTTTTGAATTAGGTTTTTATTGGACTCAGTGTTGTAAGAATCAGGGCTCAAGTTTCCCAAGCTGGAAGAGCTCTCAGGTTCTTTTAAATGGGGGAAGGGGGCACAAGAAAGCATCAAGAATGCTGACAGCCACAGCAGAAAGGAAGTAGAGTGGCGGGTGCCCTCCTTACCAAGACTGCAGGATGTTTTTTTGCTTCTCTCTCCTCCTTTTTCTTATAGTTTTCTCAAATAGTACCGTTTTCTCCTCAATTTTACTTTTTTTTTAAGATGGTATAATTCTTAAATTTATGCAAAAGCATAAGAAATAACTGATTGTGAAACCTAAAATTAGGCATTTTTAACAACCAAATGGCAAAAGCTTCAATGATATGGGAACTCTGGGAATTTCCAGCAAGAGGAATAAAACCTGGCCCAACTTCTTTGTTGAGGCTGTTTTTTTCCTTTTTTTTTAAAAAAAACAAAACTATGAAGTACTTGTAAGGTACCTAAATTATGTCTCTAAATGTGGATCTCTAAAATAGAATTAATGATATCTACTTCACAGGACGTCGGCATCAAGGATTAATAGGATAACACTTAGAAAGTCTTGGTTCACTGCCTGTCATCATAGTTCAAAAGTTTTCTCTTTTTCCCTTCTTTTGTTGGGATCCCATACTCTCAGGTCTGACTTCCCTGTCATTCTTACTAAAGTCCAGGCCCACTACCAGTACTGTGGCATTACTCTGATTTTCTTTTAGAAACTGTTCTAAGATCTTTAGGCAGAGACTATTCAGCCAAACGCTTTTATTTTCAAAGATCAGCACAAAGAATCAGAGAGGTTGCGGACTTTGTATGTACCCCCACACAGGTAATTACAGAGCAGGTGACTGAATCTACATGTTCTCACACTCTCTATTTTGGACTCCTTCCGATACTGGCATCGATCCAATCATTTTATTCCTAAAAAAAGGAAGAGATGGGCACAGAGGAAGGAAGTGAAGAGTGATGTCAGGGCTCTGTGAGCATTAGAGGCACTGCGGACTCAGCAGCCAGGGACTCCCCTCTAGGCAGCTGCTCCCCACTTGTGGCTCACCACCAGTCTCCCACAAGCTCCTGCCTTCTACACCGTTCCATCTTCTACCAGCCCCCTTCAAAGAGGTGGAGCCCTGGTTACATGACAAAGCTGGCTTGTAGTTCACAGAATCTTCTGGAAATTAAAATGCTGAGCCCTAAGCTTGATGTTCTAGGGTGGGGCGGGGTTGGGAAGTAGGGAGACTCGGGTGGGGCCGTTTGTTTGTTAGGAGCGTTTCTATGAGTCATGACAGGCCATCTCAGATTTCGGGCCGAGAAAACTCGAGAAAGTTTCTAGAATTGACAGAAATAGGGGGAAGAAACCAAAGCCAGACCGACTCCGATAGGACGCGGGGCAAAGGGGCGGAGCCCTAAGGGGCGGGGCCCCAGAGCCACCCCTGGGGCCTGACGGCGGGCTGGCCACGGAGCTGCCCGGCCCGGTGCGTGCGTTTTCTCTTTGTTTTTTTCAAAACGAGCTTAAAGGACAAAAAAGGAGAGACCTTTCGAGTTTCTCTCCCGCTGGCTGATTTATGAGGCGGGAAAATTGAGACATTTTGTAACTCTCTTACAACAAAGACAGATGAATTAGGGGCCAGACGCGTTAAGAGAAGGTGCTATATAGCCTGAGGGCAGCCCCCGCTGGGCTGGGCCGGGACTGGCGGCGGAGGGGGAGGAAGGGGTGGACCCTGCTGGGTTCTTTAGGCTCTCGGGCCTCTTGGGGACGTTTGGAAGGTGACAAAGATCGAAGACCTTCGGGAGTCATTCTCCCTCTCTGGACTTCTCTGCCTTTCCAACCTGTGGACCTGCCACCCCTCTCCTGTTGTGCTCCTCCCTCCAGTTCTTTATTCTGATGGACCAGGGCCGGCGGAGTGGGGCTGGTTGACCTCGTGTCTAGAATTCCCTCCTCTCCCGGATCCCCAGACATCACTAGTCTGTCCATCCTGTTAAGCTTAAACGTCCTTTTAATGAGTGGTGCTAGGAGAGAGCGAGGAGTCGCTCCGTCCCTCAGAACTGCACCGGATATTTTAGGGGACCCCAGGGGACGGTTTTAGGGCGACCAGTTAGGGTGAAGGATGATGGCAGTCACTGTTTCTTATTCCTACCATAAGGAGCGCCTCCTCAGAAATCAACATTAGCTTCTCCCTTGATGTAACCCCATCTTTTAGCCCAAAGCCCATGTTCCTGGCCACTTCTTCACATAAATTTTGGTTGTTATTTTTTGAGGATGACAGAACACTGGTTAAACTCAAGAATAATTAAGTGTATATGTCACTAATAAAGCAGTATCCTAGGTTCAAAAACTATATGAAATCAGTGTTATTACCCTAGCCACCTGTCTCCTGAGACCTGGCATAAGACAGGAGGTGAGATGGGAATCAGGGAAGGTTTTGGTTTTTAAAATTCTTTCCTCAGTTGTTTTCCTACATCATCCCCCCCACCAAAAAAAAAAGTTCTTTCTCCTACCCAAAGCACTACTTCTTCAAGGGATGGTACTGTATTCTATGTTAATTATACAATTCCCTCAGCCTGATCTTGAAGTTAGAAAATGATGATTTTCTAGGTACTTTGGGGTGGGGGTGGGAGGAGGCAAACATGCAGGCAATGACTTATCTTGTATTGATTTCTTAATAAAACATCAATAGCATTGACCGATCTAGCCCTAGGAACTTTATTTTCTCCATTCAAGGTTACTTCTGGAGATTTCCCTAACTTTTTATCTCTTATCGGAAGTGTTTGGTAGGTCCTTACCACTCTTCACCCTCTTGCAACCATCCCTCATCACTGGCTTAAATAGTCGCTGTGGAAGATGACAATCACAAATGCTACCACAGCTCTAAGAAGGAGAGGAGGTCCTATAGCAAATGCATATTACCACGAAGATGGGTTTACATTGTGGCCAGCGTCCATAGTACTACAGTTCTCCTACCCTGAGTGTTAAATGTGGCTTTATAGGATGGCCAGGAAACCTAGCCCATTGCTGTCGAGTTGACTCTGACTCATAGCAACCCTATAGGAGAGAGTAGAACTGCCCCATAAGGTTTCCATGGAGCCGCTGGTGGATTCAAACTGCCAACCTTTTGGTTATCAGCCAGGCTTTTAACCACTGCACCACCAGGGCTCCAGAAGCCTAAGCATCTCGTAAGATTTTTTTCCATTTCTAAGTTTCTAAGGCAAGATCTACGTGTATGTGCCATGCCCATAATATTGGAACTTCTTCAAAAGTAAGTGTTTAGTGAAAGCTATGAGGGTCTGTGAGGTACACATTAAGCTCACAAAGGTCTTTTATGGAATGTTGGTACAATTATTTTTACTTTAAGTGAAATCACATAACATAAAATTAACCATTTTAAAGTATACAGTTCAGTGGAATTTAGTACATATCCAAATGTGCAATCATCACATCCAATTTTTTAAAGGGGGCCAGGGGGCCCATTCTCCAAGCCCTGAGGATTGTGGTAGGCCCAACAAGAAGGCTGTGGAGAGGATTACTTCTAAGATGCTAGCAGCTAAGCTAGGGTGTGAGGAACCTCACAGGGAAAGAAGTGCATGGGAGGGAAGCCTGGTAAGCTTGGTCTCTTATGAAGGGCTGCAAGTTTTTCTCCCTCTCTCTTCTGAATTAACAAAAAACTAAACCTTTATCACCAATTCTTTTATTTGGCATAATTGTTTAGACTTATAAAAAGTAAATGCAAAAGGGGTAACTGTGAAACCTAGGGTAGAAATATAACCTAAAACCAGGCATGCAGAGACAAAGGCCCTGTGTACTCCGGGCAGTATTGCAAAACATCTTAGCAACCCTGGGTAAGTTTTTCTTTTAAACCGTCAAGTAGCTTTAGTTATGTAACTTTTAAGTTTCTCCGTATGTTCACCAGTGAAAGAACATTACCTAACTCAGTGTGGTGGGTGCAAGGATTAATAAAGTAATACATAAGAGGCCCTACTATGGTGCATGGTATAAGAAACAGTCAAACTTTGGGTCCCCTCTGCTGTTGTGGCCCCACACTCAGGTGACACCTCTCTAAAGCGCTTCCTGGAGTACTTAAAATGAGGCCTCAGATCAAAGCCTTTCATTTGAAAAGACAAAAACTAGGAATCAGTGGCTAAGGCACTTGTGCGTAACTCAACAAGCCAACACTTAGACCTACATCTCACTGCCAATTTAGAACTCTTCTTTGATTTAATGTTGAATCCAGATGAAATATTGGGGCTCTGAATATATGTAGCCATGGTTCTCCCATTTAACCCCCTCTCCCTTCCTCCTCCAGAAATTCTCCACCTCCCATTACTGAGGCCACTGTTACTCAGGTCTGCCCTCTTGTCCACTTCCAGGCCACCATACCACAAGCCCTTAACTTTCACTTAGCCCATAGTACCAACCCACTCAGAATACAGTTGTTTTTACCCTCCCAAGGATACTATTTGCTTAACACAAATGGCTCAATGCAATATAGCCATATTTCCCCAAATCCCTGCCCTTAAGACACAAATTGCCATTCAATTTGAGACACTAAGAAAGACAACCTACGCAGGCCCTTCTTTAGCAGAAATAAAAGACAAATGTACACAACACGCTTGATATTTTGACTTTTTTACTTTGAAGTAACCAGTAAAAAAAAAAAAAAAAAGCCTGAGTATGGGTATGAGTATTACAAAAACAGAAACGGACAAAGGGTGGCAGTATATATTCATCTTTACATTTAGAAACTGGAAAAAAAGCACATTCATCACTTCACTAAAACAAATACAATTCAACTTTGCAACCAACATTCGAAGTTGAGAGCTGAGGAAGGAGAAATACAAGGCAATGCAAAGTCTTGAATGCCAACCGTCTCTAAGACACACAGCGACAAATAAGAGAAAGGTCTCTAATCCACCTCCTCAATGGTGGGGCCAGATGCAGAGGCGCCTCGGGGAGCCTGAGCTCCAAAGCCACCAGCTCCAGGGCCACCCGCCCCCTGATACAGTCCACTAATGATGGGGTTACACACCTGCTCCAGCTCTTTCCTCTTGTGCTCAAACTCCTCCTTCTCGGCCAGGGTGTTGGCGTCCAGCCAGGAGATCACTTCCTGGCACTTGTCCAGCACCTTCTTCTTGTCCGCCTCACTGATCTTGCCCTTGAGCCCCTCGTCCTCCACTGCGCTCTTCATGTTGAAGGCGTACGACTCCAGGGCGTTCTTAGCAGAAACTCTCTCGCGCTGCACCTCGTCCTCGGCTTTGTACTTCTCGGCCTCCTGCACCATGCGCTCGATTTCCTCCTTGCTCAGGCGGCCCTTGTCGTTGGTGATAGTGATCTTGTTGGCCTTGCCCGTGCTCTTGTCGGTGGCCGTGACGTTCAGGATGCCGTTGGCGTCGATGTCAAAGGTCACCTCGATCTGGGGCACGCCCCTTGGGGCTGGAGGAATGCCGCTCAGCTCGAATCGACCCAGCAGGTTGTTGTCGCGCGTCATGGCCCTCTCACCTTCGTACACCTGGATCAGCACCCCGGGCTGGTTATCGGAGTAGGTGGTGAAGATCTGCGTCTGCTTGGTGGGGATGGTGGAGTTGCGCTTGATTAGGGCAGTCATCACACCCCCGGCCGTCTCCAGTCCCAGCGACAGGGGAGCCACGTCCAGCAGCAGCAGGTCCTGCACGTTTTCAGATTTGTCCCCCATCAGGATGGCTGCCTGCACCGCCGCCCCGTAGGCCACCGCCTCGTCGGGGTTGATGCTCTTGTTGAGGTCGCGCCCGTTGAAGAAGTCCTGCAGCAGCTTCTGCACCTTGGGGATGCGCGTGGAGCCCCCTACCAGGACCAGGTCGTGGATCTGCGCCTTGTCCAGCTTGGCATCGCGCAGAGCCTTCTCCACGGGCTCCAGCGTGCCCCGGAACAGGTCGGAGCACAGCTCCTCGAAGCGCGCCCTGGTGATGGACGTGTAGAAATCGATGCCCTCAAACAGGGAGTCGATCTCCAGGCTGGCCTGGGTGCTGGACGACAGGGTCCTCTTGGCCCTCTCACAGGCGGTGCGCAGCCGCCTCACGGCCCGCTTGTTCTGGCTGATGTCCTTCTTGTGCTTCCTCTTGAACTCCTCCACGAAGTGGCTCACCAGCCTGTTGTCAAAGTCCTCCCCACCCAGGTGGGTGTCCCCGGCCGTGGCCTTCACCTCGAAGATGCCGTCATCGATCGTCAGGATGGACACGTCGAACGTACCACCGCCCAGGTCAAAGATGAGCACGTTGCGCTCCCCCTTGCCCGTCCGGTCCAGGCCGTAGGCGATGGCTGCCGCCGTGGGCTCGTTGATGATTCTCAGCACGTTCAGCCCCGCGATCACCCCAGCATCCTTGGTGGCCTGGCGCTGCGAGTCGTTGAAGTAGGCCGGCACGGTGATCACCGCATTCGTCACCGGGTAGCCCAGGTACGCCTCGGCGATCTCCTTCATCTTCGTCAGCACCATGGACGAGATCTCCTCGGGGTAAAACGCCTTGGTCTCCCCCTTGTAGCTCACCCGCACCTTGGGCTTGTCTCCGTCGTTGATCACCTGGAACGGCCAGTGCTTCATGTCTGACTGCACCACCGGGTCGCCGAACTTGCGACCGATCAGCCGCTTTGCGTCGAACACCGTGTTCTGAGGGTTCAGCGCCACCTGGTTCTTGGCCGCATCCCCGATGAGCCGTTCCGTGTCGGTGAAGGCCACGTAGCTGGGGGTGGTGCGGTTGCCCTGGTCGTTGGCGATGATCTCCACTTTGCCGTGCTGGAACACCCCCACACACGAGTAGGTGGTGCCCAGGTCAATGCCGATGGCAGTGCTTTTAGCCATGTCGGACCGCTGCTCTCGCCCTGCAGTGAGGTTCAGGCCAGGAAACGGCGGATGGAAGCCGCGACGAGGAGCGCTGTCTCTGCAGAAAGCCGAAATCTGAACGCACCGGAGCTGCAAAGATCGCTCTTGAAAGCTGTGGGTCTGCGGGAGTCGCCACGGAAAAAAACAGCAGCTTTTCTCACTCTTCTCTCAGATTGCTGTTTCGCTGCCGTTGTTGCGTCTCTGTTTTATAAGTCTCCACCGAGCCCCCCCTTGTCCCTCCTGAGCCAATCACCGCGCTGGGCAGGGCTGCCAGGTCGGGAATATTCCAGGAGCTTCCCCGAGCGTCCTCCCCCAGACTTCCTGGGACCAATCAGTTTCCAGGGACTGCCCCTCCCCAGAACGCTCCAGACTCTTCTGGGGCTCGCTGGACTGGCGCTGTCTCAGGGAGCGAGAGACGGACAAGGGGAGGAGACGTGTGTGACGCCGCGTGTGGTCAGTCGCGTTACAATGGTGATGCTGCCTCTGACATCACTGGCCAGTTTGGAATCAGGATGACAGGACAGGGCCTCGCTCAAAGTTGTGGGAGAGGGAGGGGAGGGGGGAGGGGGGAGGCCCGCTGCGCACTTTGGATGTTGAAGGAGGCCCCAAGCGAAGGGTCTCCGCAATCTGGAAGATTTCCAAACTGGAGCGGAAGCGGCAGGGCAATAGGTGAGCCGGGAGGGCCCTGATTGGAATGGGGTGGGAATAAGCAAGGCCAGTGGGTCCTTGTTTGAGAATGTGCTGGAAAGTTCCCTAGTTGATTTACATTTGAAGTATTGAGCACTGAAGTGACCGAGATTGGCCAGAGTTGCAAAAAGAGGCGGGTGAGCTGCCTAGGGCAAGAGTTCCAGGCAGAAAGTATCAGGAACTCCCTTTTGGTTGTTACTGACTCCAAACAATAGGCTTTTTATTCAGGAGAAAAGTACAGGAAGAGACTGCCTGGAGCACCCCACCTGCCCTGAGGAGAAAACTTCTAAGGACTTGATTGGATTCCTAGAAGCCAGCTTGAGACTGGCCTGAATTTTCTCCCTATGAATCCCCAATAGAGGGTAAAAGAGCCCAGGAAGGCAGCACAACCCAAGTTGGAAGTTAATGTATTTTGAGGAGATCAGAACATAAGCTAACCTTAGTTCAGCAAGAGACAAGTACAATCCCACAATATATCACAGACATGGAAACAGGACAGTTGAATCAGATCCTTTAGAAGATTGGAAATAGTACACACCCACTCCTCCTCCCTCTCCCCCTCCCTCCTTCGAGTTGGCTGAGAGTTTTGTTTATCATGTCCAAAAGCACTCTGCTAAAACCCTCTGTCATTCGTTCTCAACAGGCCTCGGAAAACCATGGCTGCTAGTAAGGGAATGGCCATTGGCATCGACCTGGGCACCACCTACTCGTGTGTGGGGGTGTTCCAGCACGGCAAGGTGGAGATCATAGCCAACGACCAGGGCAACCGCACCACCCCCAGTTACGTGGCCTTCACTGACACTGAGCGGCTCATTGGGGATGCGGCCAAGAACCAGGTAGCCATGAATCCCCAGAACACTGTCTTTGATGCCAAGCGTTTGATAGGAAGGAAATTTAATGATCCTGTGGTGCAATCAGATATGAAACTTTGGCCTTTTCAAGTGATCAATGATGGGGGAAAGCCCAAGGTGTTGGTGTCCTACAAAGGAGAAAATAAAGCTTTCTATCCTGAGGAAATCTCTTCTATGGTCCTGACTAAGATGAAGGAGACTGCTGAAGCTTTTTTGGGCCACTCTGTTACCAATGCTGTGATCACCGTGCCAGCCTATTTCAATGATTCTCAACGCCAGGCCACCAAGGATGCAGGTGTTATTGCAGGACTCAATGTGCTGAGAATCATCAATGAACCCACAGCTGCTGCTATTGCCTATGGTTTAGATAAAGGAGGTCAAGGAGAGCGACACGTCTTGATCTTCGATCTAGGCGGAGGCACGTTTGATGTGTCCATTCTGACTATAGATGATGGGATTTTTGAGGTGAAGGCCACAGCTGGGGACACCCACCTGGGTGGGGAGGATTTTGACAACAGGCTGGTGAGCCACTTCGTGGAGGAGTTCAAGAGGAAGCACAAGAAGGACATCAGCCAGAACAAGCGAGCTGTGAGGCGGCTGCGCACTGCCTGTGAAAGGGCCAAGAGGACCCTGTCGTCCAGCACCCAGGCCAACCTGGAGATTGACTCCCTGTATGAGGGCATCGACTTCTACACATCCATTACCAGAGCTCGGTTTGAAGAGTTGTGTGCAGACCTGTTTAGGGGCACCTTGGAGCCTGTGGAGAAGGCTTTACGTGATGCCAAGATGGATAAGGCTAAAATCCATGACATTGTTTTGGTAGGGGGCTCCACTCGTATCCCCAAGGTGCAGAGGCTGCTGCAGGAATACTTTAATGGTCGTGATCTCAACAAGAGCATCAACCCCGATGAGGCAGTAGCCTATGGTGCTGCAGTACAGGCAGCCATTTTGATGGGTGACAAGTCTGAAAAGGTACAGGACCTGCTTTTGTTGGATGTGGCTCCCCTGTCCCTAGGTTTGGAGACAGCCGGGGGCGTGATGACTGTTCTGATCAAGCGCAATTCCACCATCCCCACCAAGCAGACACAGATCTTCACCACCTACTCAGATAACCAGCCCGGGGTGCTGATCCAGGTGTATGAGGGTGAGAGGGCCATGACCCGGGACAACAATTTGCTAGGGCGCTTTGACCTGACTGGAATCCCTCCTGCACCCAGGGGAGTTCCTCAGATTGAAGTGACCTTTGACATCGATGCCAACGGTATTCTCAATGTCACAGCCATGGACAAGAGCACGGGCAAGGCCAACAAGATCACCATCACCAACGACAAGGGCCGCCTGAGCAAGGAGGAGATTGAGCGCATGGTTCTGGATGCTGAGAAGTATAAAGCTGAGGATGAGGTCCAGAGGGAGAAAATCGCTGCAAAAAATGCCTTAGAATCCTATGCTTTTAACATGAAGAGTTCTGTGAGTGATGAAGGCTTGAAGGGCAAGATTAGTGAGTCTGATAAAAAGAAAATACTGGATAAATGCAATGAAGTCCTCTCATGGCTGGAGGCCAATCAACTGGCTGACAAAGATGAGTTTGATCACAAGAGAAAAGAATTGGAGCAGGTGTGTAACCCAGTCATTACAAAACTCTACCAGGGAGGATGCACAGGGCCTGCCTGTGGAACAGGGTATCCATCTGGAAGGCCTGCCACAGGCCCCACCATTGAAGAAGTAGATTAATTTCATCGGGAACTGGAGAGTTCTAGAGTGCCTGTAAGGTGAATTTTGTTCCCCTCATCTTCACTGTTTACGATTATTGAATTGACTGAAACTGAACCTAAGTTTACCATCCTTTGGGATTCTGATGGTGGAGTTTTGTATACCATCTTTTCACATGAAGGTCCTTTTTTCTGATTGTGGAATGGAACTCTTAGGAAAACTAGGCCTCTCTTTGAACCATTTGATGAATTTGAATGTCTGTTATTTATTTCTGGCTAGCCTCAACTTTCTTCTTCCTGTGTGGATGGTTGTCATTCATTAAATTTGTTCCTAAAGCAAATTACTTCTGATATCTTTAGGCTGTGCATGTATCTCAAAAAGCAGTGGAAAGAGCTCATGGGGACGCTATGTGTCCCCTGATTGTGAGCTCATTGTGAATGATTAAGCTAGTAAGGGCAAAATATTTGAATCTTCATGAGCTAATCGTTTCAAACAGGCAAATAATTTTTGTCCACCAGGCACCTTTAACCCTAGCTACAGCAGTTGCCAACTGTAGTTACTGCTTATATTCAGTGATAGGCTAGTTTAAGTGCTTAGGGTTCAGCTGGGGGAGGCAAACTTCTGCTTGATATCCTGAGGTTATTTACAGGTAGGATCCAGGAGATCCAGCGTCTGTGTACTCAGAGTCTATTATTACATCTTTTACATGCAAAAACAACTTCTACAACAAACTCCTGACAAATGGATTTTTTTTTTTAATTGTACTTCAGGTGAAGGCTTACAGAACAAATAGTTTCTCATCAAACAGTAGTACACATGTTGTTTTATGACATTGGTTAACAACCCCACAACATGTCAACCCTCAAACTTCTTAACCTTCTTTTTGGTGAAAATACACATAGCCAAAGATACACCTTTTCAAAAATTTCTACATGCACAGTTCAGTGACATTGACTACGCTCTTCCAATTGTGCTGTTATTCTCACTTAAGACGAAGGCTTACAGAACAAAATAGTTTCTCATTTAACAGTTACTACAGATGTTGCCTTATGACAGTGGTTAACAATCTCACAACACATCAACAATGTCCTTACTCAACCTTGGGTTCCCTATCACCAGCTTCCTTGTCCCCTTCTGCCTTCTGGCCCTTGTCACTGGACTACTGTACCTCGTTAGTCTCATTTGGTTTTACGGGGCTGTCCACTCCCAGGCTGAACGGTGAACCTCGGAGATAACTTCACCACTGAGCTAAAAGGGTGTCTGGGGGCCATATTCTCGGGGTTTCTCCAGTCTCCTTTAGGCCAGTAAATCTGGTCTTTTTTGACAAATGGGTATTTTTGTGCAGGGTAAAAGTGAGGATGATTTAGTAGTCTTATTCCATGAAAAAAAAAAAAATCCCTCGTGTCATAATACCGCATATTATATATGCCTGGGGGACATGAGTATAGAAGTATTTTGTTTGAGGGGGCAATATTTGAAAGTAAAATATTGTAATGGGTATTTCTATCCCCGAGCCAGTCTCTGTGGATAGTAATCTACTCAGGTCTTTTACAGGACAGTCCTAGGCAAAAGTGTGTAAGAAATGTGAACACAGATTGGGTCCTTGAGAGAAATCTATTAGGAACCTTTGATAAAATTAAAGCCCTGGTGGCACAGTTGTTAAGACCTGCTGCTGCGAACCAGTTCAAATCCACCAGCTGCTCCTTGGAAACCCTATGTGGCAGTTCTACTCTGTCCTATAGGTCGCTATGAGTCGGAATGACTCGAAGGCAACCGGGTTTTTGATAAAATCAAGATTTTCTCCCAGTCTACTGTTAATCTTAAGGACTCAACGATTTTTAGAACTTTTTATCCAAGTGTCACACATATAGAAAAGTGCACAAATCCTAATAAAGTTCCACAAATTCCCCCAACAACTTTCAGTAGGAAGTTCATATAGGCGTGTGTACACCGCGCTGTTGTTAACCACACAAAAACTTTCGAGAAGCGAAGAGCTTCTCCACGCTTCTTCGGCCCACGCCTGCGCGCTGGGAGCCAGCGGCCCCGGGAGGAAGTGGGAAGGCAGGAAGTTCCGCCCCTTTGCCGGGTTTATCTTCCCCTCGGTTCTGTCGCGCTCGCTAGCTTCCCCTGGCGAGGAGGCTGCTGCGCTTTCTCCTTCGTTCGCTTCGAGCTTTCGGCGGCGCCTCCGGCTGCGCCTGCGCCACTCCGTATCGGTCCACGCGCGGGTTCGCGCTACACTTACAGCCCGGCCTCCGGTCCGTGGCATTAGTGCTTCTCCTCTCCCGTCCGCCCTGCAGCACGCGGCGCGAGAATCATGGTAGGTACCGTGACGTCACAAGGGGGCGCCCTTGGGGTGCCTAGACCGTTGAGCCGATTATGGGGAGGTGGGGGCCCAGGCTCTACTCCTGTGAGCTAGCGTTGGGCCTGGGGCTTTTCCCTCCGTCCTTAGTTCCTGCGGCTCAAGTTCTTTGAGGAAGCACTTGGGAGTGAATGGGTTTTGTTCTTGTTTTTTTTTCCTCCCTTTACGAGGTAAAAGAATAGGCAGAAACAGCAGGAAAGAAAAGCTAGCTCTCAAGAAGCATTTCCCAGCCAGACACCAGGCTTCGGGAGGGTGGGTGGAATGCCTTCAACAATAAACTAGAAGGAGTACGCTGGGGCCCCAGAAGAGGTCGACTGGGAGAGCAGGTCTAGGAGCCCGAGTAGCGCAGGACAGAGCTGCCCTCTGGTGCTTCAAGTAAGGGGCTCCGTTGAACGTGCAGAATCATTTCGGCTCCAGTCTTTCCCCTGTCAACCGAGTGTTCTTTCCTGTGAAGTTTAGAGAACTGCCAGGGGTGTGGTGGGGATTCCAAAACCAGTATTTCAGAATACTGGTAGGGGGAAACTCTGCCCTACCATGTCTGTGTCCACATGATGGTTTTTCCTCTCTCCCCGCATAGCTCTTCTACTCCTTTTTCAAGTCCCTTGTTGGAAAGGATGTGGTTGTGGAACTAAAAAATGACCTGAGGTGGGTACCTATTTCAATAAATGTGTAGTGGGTGGATGTGCCAAGGGCCCTGGAACCTTTTTAGTTTGACAAGTATTTGATGGGTAGGCAAGATGGAAAGAGATACTGAAGAAATAAATGACCCAACCTGTGCCTTAAGCTTACAGGTTAGCAGGCAAGTTGTATTATGTATAGGAAAACAATACAAAACAATATATAACCTAAAGGGTAAATACTAGAGAGGTCAGAAGGTGGAGACGTCAATAAAATGTTTTCCAAAATGAGCATCGTTTTATTTTTTGTGATTATATACTCCTTTGACTCAACTTCTAGAAATTTAAGAATCAATTCCACAAGTAAAGATATATGTACAGACGCGCTTTTTAGCTTTATTTGCAATAGCTAAAAATTGGAAACAATTTAAATATCCATCAATAGGGAATTGGTTTATTAAATTGTGGTATTTCCAGACTATACAGCTGTCCCTTAGGAATGAGACGTACTGATATGGAAAACTGTTACAGAATAGAATGTGTGGCATAATCTCCCTTTCGTTAAAGAAAATGTAGAGGAATAATAAGACCAGTGCAGTCTCTTCTGTCTGTATTGTCTTGTGTTTATAAATCCTTTATCTCCCTGTATCATTGGCTCTGAATCATCTTTCAGGACTTGGTTAAATGCTCTATCCTTGGACAGACTTCCTGGTCCTTCTAGTCAAGTAGGCCCCTCTGTCACTGAGTCTGTTTTCTTCCTAGTGGATGCTTCTAAATTGTGATTTCATAGAACTATATTTACTTTTTAGGACCTGTTCTCCCTGTAGGACCAGGACCACATTTAGTTCACCACTGTGAACCTAATGCCTAGCATAGGCTTGGTATATAATAGGAGTTTAATAAATGTGTGGTGAATGAAAGAAAAATCACTAATGTTTGAGAGCTTCCTCTGGACTAGGCACTGTTTTGAATAAATTGCATTTTTTAACTCATTTAATTCTCATAACACCCCTGTGTGACATATATTATTATTCCTGTTTTATGCTGGAGGAAACTGAAGCTTAGGTTAAGAAACTCATTCAAGTCTACACAACTAAGCCACGCAGCCAGAACTGAAATCCAGTTCTGGCTGGCTCCTTTTTTTAAAAAAACTGTTAAAAGTAGGATAGTATTTTCCATCTAATTTTTAAACTTAACTGTGTTATGGATATTTTTCTGTGTAAATAAAGTTGATCCTTTAAAATTTTTAATGACTGATTGGTATTTTATTAGATGGCTGTATTTAATCAGGAGTCCTGGTGATGCAGTGGTTAAGAGCTTGACTGCTAACCAAAAGGTTGGCAGTTTGAATCCTCCAGCCGCTCCTTGGAAACCCTGTGGGGCAGTTCTGCTCTGTCCTGTAGGCTCACTATGAGTTGGAAATGATTTGATGACACCGGTTTTTGGTTTTGGTATTTAACCAAGATCTTGCTGTTTTAGATACAATACTTTGCTTTTACAAATGATGCTATCTTGAACACCCTTATGTACACATCTGATTATTTCTTTTGAAAAAAATCCTTTAAATGAAATGTACATTTAAAATATTGATAACTATTACCTGATTATACTTTACAAAGAGATTGAATTAATATATTCTCTCCCCAACAGTTTTTTCCACCCAGGAGAATGTGAAATCATTACTTTATGGGAGAAGGATTGACATGGCAGGGAATGATGAGGAGAGGGGCTGAACTTGAAGGCCCTTGCCTTTTAGGCCAGAGATTTCAATTTATGGCACTGATGTAGTGTGGAGGATATTAATTGGCATATGGGTTGGGGCCATAGAACAAGACAAAAATCAGCCCTAGGCCATTCTTTGAGGTGACTTATCTTTGAGTTATCTCTTCTTCCTGGGTCTTCATCATGGCAAGGATAACCGTTGTGTTGTAGCCCAGAGCCTAAAGCAAGGACTCGGAAGACTCTAAGGCAGTCCCTTGGTTGGGAGAAGAGCTCTTTCATCCTTGTTGTCAGACCATTTTTGTGCTAAGTGTCTCCTCCTTAAGGGACCAAATGAAATACCACCTGATTCAATTCCTGAAAGTTGCTTCCACTGCTGCATTCAGTGGAGTGTTGTCACAGGCTTCTGAGCAGCCAGGGACATGGTAAGAAACACCACTGAGGCGCAGTACGTCTCAGACACTGTAGATTTCAAAGAGTTGTAGAATTTTCCAAAAATTGGGAGTCCTACATAAAATTGCTGACTTTATTTTTGACAGGATAAGGACATTTTAAAAACTGCCATTATGACTATCATTTAAAACATTTTTAATACCCCCTGCCCCCCAGAAAAAAATGAGGAAGGGCAATTAAAGACCAGTTATTCTGAAGAAAATCTATTGGTAACCCTCAGGACAACACACATGCACATTCCCTATATTATCTTATGTTTCCTGAAACTTTTATGTGCACGTATCACTGTTTGAGAACCACAATTGTAAGGAACTTGAATTTGGTGGTGATGTGCAGGATGGTTAAGATCAAGGCGACCAGTGCTTCAAAATAATATGAAGGAGTGGATGGAGGTGTTGATAGGGAAGGACTGTTAAGGATGGGCCATGCTTATGGGAGTCATAACATTTATGTGTCTCCATAATAAATAAAAATAATGTAATTGTATTTGACATAAACAAATTTGAATATATTAAAATGTAAATTAAAAAAAAAAAAAGCAACCAGGTTGGACATTGGCCTAGATTGAGGTGCAAAATAAAATAATAAGATCTGGGTTTGTAAAAGTCAAACTAGAAAAGGAATTACAGAAACATTAGAAGTCAGCGGATGATGGAGATTCACAGGATATGGAGGGTGAAGAAGTACAACTCATAGAATTTGAGGTTATGAGACTGAATTGTTGAAGCCATTGATAGAAATTAAAGAAGTCGGGAAAGAGAGGTAGCATAACTTGGAGCACTGGTGTTTATATAGCATTCCTTGTTAACATTTTAGGGTGCTGGGGACAGTAGTGGTTGAGTGATAGAATTCTCGCCTTCCATGCAGAAAATCCAGGTTCGATTCCCAGCCAGTGCTCTTCATGCGCAGCAGCCACCCATCTGTCAGTGAAGGCTTGCATGTTGCTGTGATGCTGAACAGGTTTCAGTGGAGCTTCCAGACAAAGATGGACTAGGCAGAAAGGCCTGGCAATCTTCCAAAAATCAATCAGTGAAAACCCCTATGGATGACAAAAGTTTAGCCTGCAACCCATCATGGGACCTGATGGACCAGGCAGCATTTCATTCTCTTGTGCACAGGGTCACTATGAGTCAGGGGCCAACTTGACAGCAGCTAACAGCAAGAACACAGATTGGGAGAGTCAATGTCCCTGTGTCTGCATCTTCAATAGCAATGCTAACTACCTTTATCTACATATGGGGCTTCTGGTTCCAAAGCAATAAATGTTTGAAAATAGCTGATGGTCTGAGCATAAGACTTGAAGTCCTTGCATATTTGTTCTAAAGTCAGGCAAGTTAGACAACCTCTCTGAGCCCCACATGGTAATAGCTACCTTGTAAGGTGATTGTAAAGATTACAAATACTGTGCAGAATATAGGTTGAGTGTTTAACGGTTGTTTAATGGTAGCTATCAAGAGTGGGTTGGTTCAGAGAGGGAAGATACGGAGTCTAAAATAATACACCATTCTTGAAGCTTTGTCTTTCTTAAGCCAGCGCTTAGAAATGTCCCTTTTGGTCCACCTTTTCTAGCTTCTTCACGTTTTTTTACTTCCCCCAACCATGTCCCCCCAGCTCTGAAGTCACCTCTGTTTGTTGACTTTGGTGTAAACTAATTTGTTTTTTCCCTCCCTCTGCCCTGACAGCATCTGCGGAACACTCCATTCTGTGGATCAGGTGAGATATAGCAAGAGCCCAGAACTGGGTCGTGGGGAAGGACAGGGGAGAGCTTAAGGGCTGGATACTTGCATCTTGTCTCTAGGGTTAATGATGGTATTCCATCTTTTTTTAGTATCTCAACATCAAACTAACTGACATTAGTGTCACAGACCCTGAGAAATACCCTCACATGGTGAGTTGGGGATGGCGGACAAGAAGAAACACCTCTAAAAGTAGGAGGCCCCAGGGTGGGTAGAGGACATTTTTAGGGGTGTTCTCACATTTGTCCATCTTTTCTAGTTATCAGTGAAGAACTGCTTCATCCGGGGCTCAGTGGTCCGCTATGTACAGTTGCCAGCAGATGAGGTCGACACACAGTTGCTCCAGGATGCAGCAAGGAAGGAGGCGCTACAGCAGAAACAGTGATGGTTCCTCCTTCGCTTCCCCTCCTTCTTCCATTGATGACCCATAACCTCATATCCCAGCCCAGGGCCCCTCTCACCCATGGGGTGGTTGTTTTTTTGGTTGGTTGGTTTTTAATAGTGAAGGCTTTTTCTTTAATGACGAGTTGAGAGGAATAATAGTGGGGAGCAGGTTGGTTTTTAATAGTGAAGGCTTTTTCTTTAATGATGAGTAGATGAGAGGAATAATAGTGGGGAGCAGGTATCCTCTGTTGAGAACGGGAGGACAAGTAGGGTGGGGAACTGCAAAGCCTTCCCAGTCCCCAGCACCTGCTCACTCCTTGCCTGGAAATTGTAGGAGAGCCTCTAGATCTCTCCAGGGCAGGATGTGATTCTGTTTGGGGGTGGAAGGAATCTATCCCGCATCGGGAATAAAATTTATGATGCAAATTTGAGTTGCGGTTTTGTGGTATGTCTTTTTGGGTCGGGGGGGCAGGAACCTGATGCTGGATTCATTCAAGCCCTGTTACTCTCCACTCCCACAGCCAAGAACCTAGCCCAGCTACACAGCATTATCTGCTGCTACTCCCCTTTATATAAACCATATAATATCTGGACTACATACCATATTTCCTGAACGTGCCCCTACCTACATTTTCTCCCTCTGGCCTTTTGCTTATACTGTACTTATAACTAGAGTGCTTTGCCGCTGTGGTGTCATACCAGTCCAGGGAGGCTGAGATTATCCACCTCTGAAGTCAAATGTGTGGTGGATAACAAATCCCACTCTACATGCAGCTTCGTCCTATGGGAATCTGAACTCCTTTTCCTGGTCGGTTCAATCCCCAGCTGCTCCATGCAGCCCTTTGTCTCTCATCTTCATTCACCGGGGCTAGAACAGCAGGTACAGGCCTCTTTTGTTAGGTCTGATAATTCTTTGAAATGACTCACAAACTGCAGGGAAGGGGCTATCTTTAATCTAGCAGAAAAAAGGATACAAACACCAACGGCGAGGCCCAGGAGGTCCCAGGAACCTCCAGTGAACCTGCATTTTAAAAGGTCTTTTATTGGCCTCACGACATGGCCATAATAGATTACATTGTGCCTCCAGAGGGCCCGTCTGGTCAGCCCCTGCCTCACTGGTCTCAGGTGTGGCCAGGCTCTCAGGAACCAGAACCAAAGGCCAAATTGTTTATTGCAAGGGGTGTTCCACACCTCTCACGTGCCCTTACACACTTCTGCGTACTTTCATTTATGTGACAGTTTAATGCTATGAGACACCAAAATCCATGAGATGTTTTGGGTTTCTTCCTCAATCCAGCCAAATCGGTAGTCTTTCTGAATATCTCTTAAGAAGAAAAATATTGTGTAGAGTTACGACTGGGAATAACTAAACTCTTCGTTCGGCAAATGAGTTCCCGCCACAGGCGAAAATTCACAGCGTTAAAGGGACCATAGAGGCCACCTTTGTGACGCTCTCATCGCATACAAGAAGAAATGAGGCTCAGGAAGGAGGCTGGACTCCCGGGGCTCTGGCAAAGTGAATCTCTTCCTCCCCATCAGGGACGGGAGAACCCAGCTTCCCCAACAGCATCCTCGCCGGTTCCCCAGCGACCCGCTAGGCGCCGCCCTCGGGGACCCGCCCAGCAGCCCGCCGTTCGCGCCGGCCGGCCCCGAGGACCCGCGCGGGGTGCCCGCGGCGGAGCCTGATGGCAGCGCTGTCCCAAGGGGCATGGAGGGGGGGCCTCCCCTGCTGTGCATGCGCCCCCGCGCCATTCTTCATGAGCGCAGCCCCCGGCGGCGGCTCTTTCCCGGGCCAGTGCTGGCCAGGGGCAGAGCCCGCACACGCAGGCGGGACGCGGTCGCCCGCGCCAGGACCTGAGGGCCCGGAATCGCTCTCTGTCATAAAGGGGGGGGGGGGACACGTGGGTGCGGACCGCCGGGGAGGCGGTCGCAGGAAACTACGATCGCCCGAAGGACCGCCACCGCCACCGCCCCCACCTGCCCGACTCCGACCCGGGCCGCCCGGCCCATCCCGCCGCGGCTCGGCCCGGCCTAACCACCTCCTTCCAGTATGTACACGCGGCCCGAACGTGCGTCCCGCTGGACGCCGAAAGCCCCCCTACACTCCGGTGGACCGTGATCTTGGGGGGTCCCGCTCCCCTCTGCCCCAGGCGCTCGGACAGTCGGGCCCTAGGCTCCTGAGGCCTCGTCAGACCCCCAACCCTGGGAGTCTCGGGTGCCTGCGGCAGCGGAGTCCCCGTGAGGGTTCCCTCTCCTCGAATAGTACCCCCCTGGATCCCTCATCTTACCCTGTCTCTCTTTCTCCCTAGGTTTTTCCACCTTGTTACGGAGCACCTGAATAACCATGTCCATCCTCTATGTCTCCCTTCACCCAGATGCCTTCCCCAGCCTCCGAGCCCTCATAGCCGCGCGCTATGGGGAGGCTGGAGAGGGTCCCGGATGGGGGGGTGCCCACCCCCGCATCTGTCTTCAACCGCCCCCGATCAGCAGGACTCCCTTTCCCCCACCCCGCCTGCCTGCCCTGGAGCAAGGGCCCGATGGGCTCTGGGTGTGGGGAGCCACAGCTGTGTCCCAGCTGCTGTGGCCGGCAGGCCTCGGGGGCCCTGGGGGTAGCCGGGCAGCTGTCCTCGTCCAACAGTGGGTCAGTTATGCCGACACGGAGCTCATACCGGCTGCCTGTGGGGCAACACTGCCAGCCCTGGGACTCCGAAGCTCTGCCCAGGACCCCCAGGTGAGTGGAGAAAAAGAACGGCGAGATCAATAGGGAAGGAAGCAAGGATTGGGATGGATAATGAGAAGGAAGATGCCCTCTCAGATAGGGAAAAAATTTGATCAAATCCAGATTGCCACCTGGTATGGTAACCCTGAGCACGTTTTTTAAACTTTCAAGCCTTGCTTCCCCTGTGTCTTTGAAACAAAAGTGATGTAATACCTGCCTCAATGAATTGTTAAGAAGGTGAAAGGATGTGTGCAAAGCACGTAGCCCAGCGCCTTGCTCTTTAAAGCCTCAGAATAAATGTTTGACAAGTCTGAAACTGAGGATGATGGGGTTACTTTGAAATGGGGAGAAAGACTGGGTGAGGGAGAGATGATTAGACTTGGGCAGCTTGGGCAGGGTGGGGAGAGAGAACAGTCACTAGGAGGAGATGAATGAGAAATGAAATGAGGAAGGGAAGTAAAGGAAAGAAAGGAGAGATAACTTTAATGAATCACTTACCCACATGTAAATGTACTTCCAGAGTGTGGCTGTGCCCAACTGTCCTTGTCGCTCCTAGCAGAGTATTGAGCATTTGGTGGATATTTAGTATTTCATCACTAACTGACTGGATGGATATGTAGCATAGGCCCTGGCTTGCTCCTTGAAATCCTGGTCACCATATTTAAAAAAAGAGAGCCACCCTCTCCTGGAACTCCCTGCCCCCTCAGCCAGCTTTATTTTTCTCCACAGCATTTAAGGAGAAAAATAGGGTGATACATTATATATTTACTCATTTATTGTCTCTTCTAGTAGAATGTAAACTCCACTGGGTCAAGGGCTTGGTCTAATTGTTCAAGTTCTCTCCTCACCCTGGAGTAGTGTCTGGCACAGAAAAAAATAAACCCAAACCAGTTGCCGTGGAGTCAATTCTGACTCATGGCGACCCCATGTGTGTTGGAGTAGAACTGCTCCATAGCGGTTTTCTTTTGTTTTCGTTTGTTAATTGTTTATTTACAAAGAGAAACTATTCTTTAGACCACATAGTCATGTTTCATAATTCAGGAACATAGGTCAGTGACAATTTCCATGGAACTCAATCCAAAGAAATTCTTTACATTCCAAAACCACTTTGCACTCTGAAACATACCAGATTTCCTCATCTCTTCATGGAATCATAATTTCTGTAGAAATCCATATATGCCTTCTTTCTTGGTTCAGCTACTGCAAATTTACAGAGAGCTGCAATCCCCAGGGCCGTAATGAATGCTCCAACAATATGAGTTCACAGACACTTGGCCAGAAGGCCTTACATCTGAGGTTTCACCAATATGCTGGAAGACATAGTGGTTCTTCTCCCTCAACACCAGTGTCCTTCTTGACTGATGGAGAAAATCCATAGGGTTTTCAGTGGTTGATTTTTGAGAAGTAGATCATCAGACCTTCCTTCTGAGGCGCCTCTGGGTGGACTTGAACTGCTAACCTTTTGGTTAGCAGCTGAGCACACTAACCCGTTTGCACCTCCCAGGGACTCCTGCCAGGCACATAACAAAAACCAAACACGTTGCTGTCAAGTTGATTCCGACTCATAGCGACCCTGTAGGACAGAGTAGAACTGCCCCATAAGGTTTCCAAGGCTGTAATCTTTATGGAAGCAAACTGCCACATCTTTCTCCCGCGGAGCAGCTGGTAGATTAGAACCACTGACCCTTAGGTTAGCAGCCGAGCTCTTAACCACTGTGCCACCAGGCACCTCACCAGGCACACAGTAGGTGCTTAATAAATATTTGTTGAAGCAATCTGTTATCTCACGTATTAATCTGTTCTTAATAGCATCTGGCACATAATAAGCGTTCAGTAGGGGTTTGTTAAATGAATGGGGAGGAAGCATTTTTATTATGACCGTTTGAGAGAAGAGGAAACTGGCCTCTGGGATTTGTGGGAGTAGAGGAAGGCCAAATGGACTGGGTTCCGGGAGAGGTGAGGTTGAGGTGAGGCAAGCCTTGTCTCACACGCCTTCCTCTTCCTGCTAGGCTGCACTGGGGGCCCTGGGCCGGGCCCTGAGCCCTTTGGAGGACTGGCTTCGACTGCACACTTACCTGGCTGGGGAGGCCCCCACTCTGGCTGACCTGGCAGCTGTCACAGCCTTGCTGCTGCCTTTCCGATACGTGAGTTACTGGGGCCTGGGGAAAATGAGGGTAGCTCCCCTCAGACCTCACTGTAGAGTGACTAAGGGTAGCTCATTTCTTTTCCCTCGTCCCAGGTCCTGGACCCTTCAGCCCGCCGGATCTGGGGTAACGTGACTCGCTGGTTTATCACGTGTGTCCAGCAGCCAGAATTCCGGGCTGTGCTGGGAGAGGTGGTTCTGTACTCAGGGGCCAGGCCCCTCTCTCAACAGCCAGGTGAGGAATGGTGGGAGTGGAAGGATTGGGATTCTTTGGGGCCTTCCGTGCAGCTTACTTCCTCTTTTCTCTCAGGAATGGCAGAATCACTGGGGCAGGGGCCTGGGGAAGGGACAATGGGAGGATCAATATGGGGGAGCCCTCAGGCAGCTGGAATAGCCCATCTGAAACACAGGAGCATCTTCATGAAGGGTTCCTAGCAGGCTCAGGCTGTGTCTGCATTTCTGTCCCTCTCTTCAGGCCCCGAGGTCCCTGCACCCCCAAAGACAGCTGCTCAGCTCAAGAAAGAGGCGAAGAAACGGGAGAAGCTAGAGAAATTCCAACAGAAGCAGAAGATCCAACAGCAACAGCCACCTTCAGGGGAGGTGAGAGACT